GTCAGGTTTTTGGGCCCACTTTTGCCAAACATTGAGGACATCCAGAGAAATATCTGTCCTGTTTTCAGAAGCAAAAAAGCTTGCCTAGTGAAAAGTGCAGAGTAAAGCTGGCTGCAGCACTTCTTCGAGCAGCGCGAAATCAGCAGCTACATTTAGAAAACATATTTCTTTTTTTTTTTTTTTTGAGACAGAGTTTCACTCTTGTTACCCAGGCTGGAGTGCAATGGCGCGATCTCAGCTCACCGCAACCTCCGTCTCCTGGGTTCAGGCAATTCTCCTGCCTCAGCCTCCTGAGTAGCTGGGATTACAGGCACGCGCCACCATGCCCAGCTAATTTTTTGTATTTTTAGTAGAGACGGGGTTTCACCATGTTGACCAGGATGGTCTCGATCTCTTGACCTCGTGATCCACCCGCCTCGGCCTCCCAAAGTGCTGGGATTACAGGCTTGAGCCACCGCGCCCGGCCAGAAAACATATTTCAGTCCTGGAGATTCGTATCAGAGGGGTGGGCAGCGGGGATGGGGTGTTAACGCTGACATAGCCTGTGGCCTTGCCTGCCCCTCCCCATCCCCAGGCTCAGAGTGGGTGGCTGCCCTGCAGGGACTGACGGAGTGCACGTCCATGCTGGTGAAGGACCTGCCCACAGGGGCCCGGCTGCTCTTCCGAGTGCGGGCACACAATATGGCGGGGTCTGGAGCCCCTGTTACCACGACGGAGCCGGTGACGGTGCAGGAGATCCTGCGTGAGTGCCCTTTCGTGCAGTCACAAGACCTGCCACTGACACCCCAAGCCCTTGGTGTTCAGTGGAGGTGGGGACAGCCAGGGAGGCCCTGCCAGAATGCTGGGCAGGGACAGGAGGGGTTGGAGCCATCATCCATGCACTAGGCTCAGGAAGAAAGCACAGAGAGGGTGGCTGGGCATCCTGGCTCACGCCTGTAATCCCAGCACTTTGGGAGGCCAAGGCGGGCGGATCACTTGCGGTCAGGTGTTTGAGACCAGACTGGCCAACATGGTGGAACGCCATCTCTACTTAAAATACAAAACTAGCTGGGTATGGTGGTGCATGCCTGTAATCCCAGCTACTTGGGAGGCTGAGGCAGGAGAATCACTTGGACCAGGTGGCGGAGGTTACAATGAGCCGATATCATACCACTGCACTCCAGCCTGGACGACAGAGCGAGACTCCGTCTCAAAAAAACCCAAAAAACCAAAAAAAGTGCAGAGAGGACTTTCTTGGCCTATGTCAACCCCCTAGTTCTGGAACAGGGAAAATAAAGGCCACGGTACCCACGCTCTCTTCTAGGAGTCTCAGCTCCAACAGTAAGTATTGTCTGTGTTGTTAGATTGGTCCCTCTGGGGTCCACTTCCCATTGCTCTGTTCCTTGTCCCAGTAAAGGGTCCATCTTTTGTAAAGATTGGTTCTCAAAGCTGGAATGAGGCAGCAAACTGGGGTGGAACAGGGCAGAGGATGTAAAAGCCCAGGTTTACACCTTGACCTGTGACTTACTAGCTGTGTGACTCCAGTCAAGTTGCTTACCCTCTCTGATCCCTGCCTCATGAAGCAATGTGGTGAGGCTCAGGGGGAAGCCAGCTGGGCCTGGGCAGGCTGGAGTTGCTGTGTCCTCAGGAGCTAAAGGAGGCACAGGGCCCAGCAGGCAGCTTTTTTTCTTAGCTGCAGCTCTCTGGGCCTTGTCTCAAGGGAGGATGGAGCCATGGAGGCCCTCAGGGCTGTGGTGGGACCTCACTTGGCTCCCCACTCTGCACCCACAGAACGGCCACGGCTCCAACTGCCTAGGCACCTGCGCCAGACCATTCAGAAGAAGGTCGGGGAAGCTGTGAACCTCCTCATCCCTTTTCAGGTGGGACCAGCCTCCTTCCCTGTCCCCCAGGGGAGAGGCTACAGTGTGCTGTTCCCAGCCAGCAGACTGATGGCTCAGGGCTGGCCCGATCTGAGGTCCCAGAGACTGGGGTGTTGGCTGGTCTTGGGAAAGAGCCGAGTTCAGTTTAAGCTTTTCCTCCCCTCAGGGCAAGCCCCGGCCTCAGGTGACCTGGACCAAAGAGGGGCAGCCCCTGGCAGGCGAGGAGGTGAGTGTCCGCAACAGCCCTACAGACACCATCCTGTTCATCCGGGCTGCTCGTCGCGTGCATTCAGGCACTTACCAGGTGACAGTACGCATTGAGAACATGGAGGACAAGGCCACGCTGGTGCTGCAGGTCGTCGGTGCGTGGCCAAGGCCTCCCTGAGCCCCTTGTTTCCCATCCCTGAGCAGGTCTGCTGGGGCCAAGGGCCGGGCCAGGGGACCCAACCCACAGCTCACATTTTTCAGTCCAGTACCCAGCAGGGTACTGGCTGGCAGGGGTAGGGGGTCCCTGGAGCCCAGCGTCACCCTGCTCACTGTCAGGAGGTATGGTGACCCGACTGGGTATGTCTCTCGCAGACAAGCCAAGTCCTCCCCAGGACCTCCGCGTCACTGATGCCTGGGGTCTTAATGTGGCTCTGGAGTGGAAGCCACCCCAGGATGATGGCAACACGGAGCTCTGGGGCTACACGGTGCAGAAAGCCGACAAGAAGACCATGGTGAGCCCAGGGTCCCCACGTGCACCCTGCCTAGGCCCGGCAGACCCAGGCCCCAGCCACCCTTTGCTGTCCTCACCATGGACCCCTCACCCTCCCTCTGCCGTCCCGAGTCCCTCCACGGTAGGGGTGGAGATGCCAGGGGCACCCAGGAGGGGCTCTTGGTGTCAGGGAGGGCCTGGCCGAGATGCCTCCCCTCCCTCCCTGCCCCAGGAGTGGTTCACGGTCTTGGAGCATTACCGCCGCACCCACTGCGTGGTGCCAGAACTCATCATCGGCAATGGCTACTACTTCCGCGTCTTCAGCCAGAATACGGTTGGTTCCAGTGACAGAGCGGCCACCACCAAGGAGCCCGTCTTTATCCCCAGACCAGGTGCGGTCCCCTCATTCCCTGCACCAGGGGCTGGGGCAGGGAGGCTGTGGGAACAGGGAGGGGGGGCCCAGCTTGGTGTAGCCGTCTCGGTACCAAGTCCTATTACCAACAGGCATCACCTATGAGCCACCTAACTACAAGGCCCTGGACTTCTCCGAGGCCCCAAGCTTCACACAGCCCCTGGTGAACCGCTCAGTCATCGCGGGCTACACCACTATGCTCTGCTGCGCTGTCCGGGGTAGCCCCAAGGTAGGGAACTTCAGGCTGTGGTCCAGGCTGGCTCATGGGCCTCAATGTCGAGTTCTCTCCACCTTGGGGTATACGGGCCGGGCTCCTCTCCCTGAGCAGGGCTGTGGCACTCACTGTTGGTTCTGTGTTCATTTCCAGCCTTGGGCATAGTCAGGGACTCCAGTGGGAAACCCCCAAGTAGGGGCCCAGGGAAACACAAATGCATGTCCCCGGGTCCCTGCCAGGTCTCTCGGCCTGGATGGCTTCCCTCCCTCTCCTTACCTTATTTGTAGCCCAAGATTTCCTGGTTCAAGAATGGCCTGGACCTGGGAGAAGATGCCCGCTTCCGCATGTTCAGCAAGCAGGGAGTGTTGACCCTGGAGATTAGAAAGCCCTGTCCCTTTGATGGAGGCATCTATGTCTGCAGGGCTGCCAACTTACAGGGCGAGGCACAGTGTGAGTGCCGCCTGGAGGTGCGAGGTGAGGAGCCCCGGGGCTGGGAGGTGGGAAGAGCGGGGCAGCAGCAGGGACCCTGGCTTTTGCTTTGTTGTCCTGGGCCAAGCAGCTGCTCTGGCTGCACAGGCACGGACCCTGTCATGTCCAGATGGGTACTGGCTTCCAGAAGGCTAGGACACAATGACATGACCTCCTTCTCTTCTGCAGTGCCTCAGTGACCAGGCTGGCTCCACGGATGGCCAGGTATGCAGTCCAGACAACCTGACACCCAGGCACAAGTCAGCAGCTGAGCTCTGGCCCTTGGTCCCAAGGCAGCTGTCAGGAAATGGGAGGCTGTAAGGGCCTCCGTTCACTCCTAAGATAACCTTTGTCCTAGGTATAACTGATGCGAGCCCTGTGCCAGAAGCCTGGAGGGAAGTTGGGGAAATCCCTCTCTGCTGTTGGATGCGTGTGTGACAAGTGCGTCTCCTAGGCTGCAGTGCGGGATCAGCAGGGCACTTGTGTTGGGTGGGCCTGGGTAGGTGTTGCAGACTGGTCCACAGGGCTCCTGACGGAAGCTCTTGGATCTTTGGAGTGAAATGGGGGTGGCCTCAAGAAATGGTGTCTGGGGACATATCTTTCTGGTCTGCCATGTCTTCCCAATGTATACTAGGCAATAAAAGATTAGTGGTCACAGAGAACTCACTCTTCTTACTCAATTTCAGTGTGCCTGTTTTCATAAAAATACACAGGGGGCCGGGCGCGGTGGCTCAAGCCTGTAATCCCAGCACTTTGGGAGGCCGAGGCGGGTGGATCACGAGATCAAGAGATTGAGACCATCCTGGTCAACATGGTGAAACCCCGTCTCTACTAAAACTACAAAAAATTAGCTGGGCATGGTGGCGTGTGCCTGTAGTCCCAGCTACTCAGGAGGCTGAGGCAGGAGAATTGCCTGAACCCAGGAGGCGGAGGTTGCGGTGAGCCGAGATCGTGCCATTGCACTCCAGCCTGGGTAACAAGAGCGAAACTCCGTCTCAAAAAAAAAAAAAAAAATACACAGGGATGGCCAGGCACGGTGGCTCACGCCTGTAATTCCAGAACTTTGGGAGGCTGAGGTGGGCAGATCACCTGAGGTCAGGAGTTCAAGACCAGCCTGGCCAATATGGTGGAACGCCGTCTCCACCAAAAATGCAAAAGTTAGCCAGTCATGGTGGTGCACGCCTATAATCCCAGCTACTCAGGAGGCTGAGGCAAGAAAATTGCTTGAACCTGGGTGGCGGAGGTTGCAGTGGGCCGAGATTGTGCCACTACACTCCAGCCTGGGTGACAGAGACCCTGTCTTAAAAAGAAAAAAAAGAAAGCATGGGGACACTGATCTTCACAGCAAAATGAGGGCAGATACTGTTTTTATTTTCTTCCGGATGATTTAATTAGGCCTAGAGTGGAATCTGAGTTCATAAAACATTAGCACTAGAAGGAACCTGACTCCCCCGATGGCACTGACTCAGATGATGAAACTGAGCTGTGATGGCGGAAAGCGCATTAGTCAGTCCCAGGTACTCAGCATGACCCTTGTGCCAGGGGCGGTGGTGTGGTCGCAGCCTCCTGGAGGTGGGTAAGGCAGACGCTGTGTTGTGACTGTCCCGGGGTGGAGCTGCACTAGGTGGCTCTGGGGTCCCAGCAAGCAACAAGCCCACAGCTGGTGCACACCCACATCCCAGTGGGGGACAGCAATCCAATCCAGCCCAGGACCGTGGGTGTCAGGGCCTGGACCCCACTCTGCTCTCACTTCCCCCATGGGGAGCCTAATTCCGAGCATCAGTTTCCTTTCGGGCGGGGGAAGCCAGCAGGTCTCAGAAGTTCCCTGAGAATACAGCCAGGTTTTTCCAGGACAGAAATTCCGTGAAGGCAGCTCCTGGGGGTGCTTCTAGGAGTTCTACCCGGTGGAAGACACTCCTGGCCAGGTGTCCCGGGCCCTGGCTGAATCACCACACCTCGCCATACCTACCTGTTAGGGCATGGAGAGGCCAGGGCCCGGCTTTTCACCTGATCTCAGTCAGGTGTGGACTCCCGGTCTGGCTGCTCCTCCAGTTCGTGGCAGCCCAACTTTCCGCAGTGCCCCTAGGTGCCCTGGAATGAAAGCTCCACCCACAGCCTTGCTCTGGGAGAACAGCAGAGCTGGGGCCTCCGTGTGCCAAAGCCTGGACATGGATGACCTCATCTCCTTCTTTCCTTCAAGCCTGAAGTGCCTTTTTAGAGTCCAGGAACAGCCTGCCTCACACCTGAGCCAAGAGGAGGTATCATTTAATGTGAGGCAGCCAGGGAGCCCAAAGAGAGTCAAGGACATTTATTTCACATTCACACAGCTGTACATTTTCTATAAATAATGTGGGGCTGAAATATTTACAGTCATCTCTTGCCCACACCCAGGCCACCTCTCCCTCCTGGCACCCTGTACCTGGAGACACAGCCTGAGGACACAGATGTGCAAACCCAGCTTGGTCTTTCCCGCCCCCTCCCCGATGCTCAGGCAGAGCAGCCAGCAGTCCCTGGGATGCCACGAGCCTCAATCACTGCATCCTCTGATGCCAAAGGCACAGCAGGCTACAGGGAACTCGCCACTCCACTGTAGGCAGGCAGCAGCCAACACATGTGTGCCCCAGGCAGCAGCTGCTGGGTTGAGAATGCAGAAGGAAGCAGGGAGGCTGCCATTCGCTCCAGCTGCCCCCCAGTTCTCCCCTTCCTGTCTGTGTCCTTCCTCTGAGAGGGTTAGCCCCATTGTTTCCTCACTCCTCACAGAGTGGAACTGCTCCAGGCGCCCAGTCGCGCCGGGCCACAGACCATGGAGAGCTGGACTCTTGCGGTGGACAGTTATGATGCCAGGGACAAGGACAAACCACCACCACACCAATGTCTCCAGGACACACACACACACACACACACACACATACACACACACTTCAGCCCTGAGGGGAAGGCAGTTTGGTCTTCTGGGAGTGGAGAGGGAGAAGGCGGACACGCTCAAAGACACACTCAAAGACACACTCAGAGACACATAACTGGTAACCAACTAAGCCACAGCAGTGGGCTTGCAGAGGACACAGGAGCATCATCCACTCCCTGGTCACAGCAGCATCGTGCACTTGGGAACAGCGAGAGGCCAGGGGCGTGCCCTGGGCTGGGGCGGCCATGTAGCCCCTCTCCATCAGCTAGAGACAGGCCGGGGTGGGGTTCTGAGATCTTCCTCACTGCTACGAACCGCAGCCACATACGAGAAGAGACACAACACAGAGTAGCAGATCTCGTGGGCCTGGAGGGGAGAGAAAGCCAGGCGGGTCACGGTCTTGAAGCTCCTGCATCTCCATATGCGAGGATCTGCCAATGGCAGCTCCTGCCCTAACACTGGGCACGGCCTCTGGGCTGAGTGTGAGCTCCAAGCAAGACCTCAGAAGCTGTCGCCGTGGGAGAGGGGATCCGTGTGTGTGTGCCTGCCTCCCAGGGCTGAAGACCTGTTTTAGCTGGAGTTGAATCTTTGGCAACCAGACCGGGTCCCCACTCACCCCTGTGCACTCAGAGGGCCCACCCCTCCTCCTGTCCAAAGGTCCCCGGGGAGCCCTGCGCAGACTGTGGCCTGTCGGGGTTGGGCAGCACACTCACCATTGGTGTCTTGTACTTGTGGCTCACCACTTCTTTAATTTCAGGAACTAAAACCGGACGGGCAAGAGACAAAACAGAAAGTTCAACACTAAGAGCAGTAGTGTCATGCTCCCCCAGGCGGCAGCGCCCGGCGCCAGGGTCCCCTTCCCCTCTGCGGCCTCTCACAGTGGCTGCAGCAGCTTAGGCTATGACAGGGCAGAGGCCACCAGAGGCTCTGTCCAGATCCTGCCGACTGGGAAGACGTGGCCCCAGCCTCCTCAGCTAGGCCTCTGCCGTCTGCAGTGGCTTTTACTTGATGGCTGTGATTCCACCCACTTCTTTGAAAGCCCCGGATGGGAGGTGCGGGCCTTTCACCAGCCTGGTCACGGCTACTGTCCAGGGCCCCTGAGGAGCTGCAGTGGAGAATTCCCAGGATTTGGCTGGGAGAAGAGAGCTGTCTCTAGCCTGTGTCCAACTGTACTGAGACGCCCGTGAGCTCGTCTTGTCACCAGCCTGAAAGTCTGGTCATGTCAAACACAGTTCCCTTTATTCCCGGCCCCCTACATAGAGGGTCTCGAGGCTGGATGAAGAGGTAACTCGATACTAAACCCTCAGGACATGGAAGTGTCCTTCCCTGAGTGGCAGGAGAAGCCCAGGCCTGCCTGTGTGAGGGAGAGCGTCTGAGGGCTCTGGAGCAACACACCCAGCAGAAGACAGGCGAGTACAGCACCCAGGGAGGGAGGTGACAGGGAGCATCAGGCAAGATACACACAGGTCCACAGCCCAGAAGGCAAGAGTGAGAGTCCCCCTGCCCCAGCCATGCCGGGGTTCTGCTTGGCCAGAGGAAGAAGTAGGCCCCCAGCCTCAGCCATCATCATGACCCCTTGAGACTGGGAGCAGAGGGGCCTGGCATCTCCCTGGGGTCCAGAAAAGGCAGGAGGAAAACTGGTCGCTCCTTCTTCTGACCCTGGGAGGTAGAATTTGGGGGAACCCAGGGCAGGTGGGGAATAAACTCATCAAAGGTAGATCGAGAAGCCCCAGGCCATTCTCCCAAGTTGGAGGATTCCCCTAAGTATCTCTCTGACAAAAGAGAGAAGGGAGCACACAGGGGAGCAACGTCAGAACCAGTGAGCCGGTGGGAGCGGGGAGGCAAGGGGGGGAGGAAGAGTCGGGCGGAGGAAGGAAGAGACGAGCTGGCAGTGTGAGCAGCTGGTTTGGCTGAAGGGAGCCCACCCACCCATGACAGGGCCCAAGGCAGAGACCTGGGGAGAGGCAGCACGAGCCGAGGTCACTTTACCTGCTGGAGAACGAAGGTTTTCATAGCAGCGATGAGGGGCACAAAAGAATGAAGCACAAACACAGCAGGAACTCAAAGCCCCAGGGTAAGAACCCACTACACCACTCGCTAGCGCTGCTCCCAGCTTCCGGCTACAGCTGCCCCTTCTGTCCCTGAGGCCCGCTAGGCTCCTGTGCCCCTCAAGTGAGTCTGCCTGTGATGCCCCAGGCCCTTCGTCTGGCACAGAGACCAGGTGGAGACCAGAGTGGCGCCAGGGAGGCTGGGTGGCGCACTGGGCTGCTAGAAAGACTGCAGCAGGTGACACAGACATAGTAGAGCTTGGGGGTTGCCAGTCCGCTCTGTCCCCAACTTTCTGACTACTGGCTGGCTCAGCACAAGGAGATGGTGCTACTTTGCTGAGACGCTTCAGGACCACCTCTAAACTCGAAACCCACTGCCTCTTCTGCGATCCATTATCTGTTTTTCCCTTCTACTTCCCTGCTGTCATCTCAGAGGTCCCTCTTCTTCCTTGTCACTCCAGCTCCTCCTGACCTCTCTACAGAGGTTCTCCTTCTCCCTGCCCCTAGACCCTCCTCTGGAGCTCCGAGGTTTGAGTTACTGCCATGTGAGTCCAGACCTAAGAGCAAAATAGTGTAATTACCAAATTCCTCCAGGACAAAGACGCCTCGAACTGTATTGCACTTTTTAATGTGATTCAGCTCTATGAAAACCTGCAAGAGAGGGAGGGAGGGTGGGGTAAGGCCCAGAGGCTCCACCCCAGCCCCACACAGCACACTCTCCCAGCTACAGCCCCGCCCACACACAGAAAGCCTATTTTCCAAAGAGAGGACAGAAGAATTCACACACACACACACAACTCAAAAGCGCTAAGAAGCAAAGATAGCAGAAAGGGCATGTACCTTCCGCTCCTGGCCGGAGGAGAAAGCATGGGAGAGAAATGAAGGCGTTAGTTTGAATGGTCAAACCCAACCCGAAGGCCCTGCTGCTGGCCTGGGCTGCCCGCCCGTACCCCTGCCCAGGGCAGTGCTTGTAAGACATGGTGCCCCAGGGTCCCTGCTCAGCCCATCAGGTCTCTACCCTTCCATGCATCCTCCTCCGGCGCAGAGGGCTGGCACAGGCGCAAAGCTCCCCTCAGACTGTCCTCAGGGTGGGAGGTGTTGGGATCCTCCTTCAAACAGGGTCCAGGATCTCCCAAGAGGTACGTGGTGATAATAATCCCAGCTACCACCTGCCTAGCACCTACTCGGGGTTTTACAAATACGATTTCTAATCCCTGCACCTACATGACACAGTATATAGTATTACCCCCATTTTCTACAGGAGGAAACTGTCGATCGGAAAGTTTCTTTGCCCATGAACGTGGAAGCTGGGCTTCAAATCCGAGCACGTCCTGACACCAAAGCCTGTGCTTTTCCTATTCCCCCCACCTCCACCAGGAAGTCTGCTGCCCCTCTACTCCAACTGACCACCATGTTGCAGAAAAGGGGGCAGGTCGCTGTCTCATTATTAACTGTGATGTAAGACGGAGAAGCCGGGTGTTCCTCCCCTTCCCTGCACAGTCTGTCTTCTAGAGGCCAAGCCTTCAACCACAGACGGGCTTGGCTGGCTGCCCAGAGGGGCTACGCCAAGGGCAGGATGAGGAAGAGGACAGAGCACCTGGGCCCTGCTCAGCGAGATCGCATCTCCAGAAGGGGCAGCCATGGCACTAAATGCGGTCAGCAGCCTGCTCCCCAAGAGGTACTGACACCTTCGTGGTCCAGAAAAGCACTCAGGTAGACCCCTCACTTAGATAGACCCCTTTCTGGGCTGGCCCTAAGGTCTTTGGGGTTGGCTACCACCCTAAGTCCTAGATTGAAAATACACGAAGGGGCTGCTGGAAGTCTGGGCAGCTGTTTCCTGTTAAACCAAAGCTGCCCAGCTACGTTCCTGAAAGAGCGCTATAGCAGCTAGTGGAGGGAGGAAGCCACGTCAGGTGGGCAGCCACCTCCCAAGGGTCTGTGGTGCTTCACACATTCGGGTCTGGCTCAGAGCCTCAGGGAGAGGAACCAGGACATCAGGGAAAGAGGAGGGAAGGCACTTGTGTGAGGAGTCAGAGCTGTGAACGGACCTGGGATGATGCGCTGGCCTCAGAAAGGAATTAGCTTAAGGAATGTCCACTGAGAGAAAAAAGTAACACTGTGTTAAAAGACCGAGAGAGAGAAAAAAAAAGTCAGCTCCTATGGTGGAATTACAATGAGGGAAAGATGTATCCAGATTGCTCCCCAATCAAAAGAAGGGGAATGGGGCCTGTGGAGCAGGGGACAGAGTGGGAACACTCAGAGGAAGGAAAATAACAGGAAGAATCCGCAGATGAAAAAGGCAAATAAACACACGCTGGACTTACACACAGGCACGCACGCACACGCAAGCTGCACGCGCACCAGAAAAACACAAGGAGGTCGGCCAGTCTAGACTCTCAAAGCAAAAACACCAGGCAGAAGCATACCCTGGGAATAAAGGAAGGCAGAGACGCTGCGGGGAAGGGCCAAATGAGACGCTCCCACTCACACTGTGTGGAGTCCAATGGACGGGGCAGCGAGGCCACCCAGCCTCGCTCCTGCCCAGCCTCCCCCGAGGGCTCCCTGCTGCACCTTCACAGCACCTGGTGGTCGCCAATGTCATTGTGCCCTCCCCTGGGATTTCTCTCCCGGGTGCAGCTGCTCCAGTTTTCCCTCTAGCTCCAGAGGGCCCTTTCTCATGCTTCTGGGGAAGTACTGGGGGCCTGGACACTGGTCCTTCTTACAGATGGAATGACAGGGAGCCTCGTGCTGCCGCTCGCACTTACCTGGTTGTGCATGAACTTGAGGTTGATCCCTTCCAGGGTGACCTGCAGCAAGCCACCCTCACCAGTCTTCATGTCCTGCACGGGGAACTCGCCACCCAGTTCAGGTCCTGTGGTGAGGGAGGGGGCTATCAGCTCACTGGTGAGGTGGGGAATCCCGCCCCCGACTTTCCTGCCAGGCCCCCGACACTCAGAAGGACTGGTGGAAACTGGTGGAAGACACTCTCAGGAAACTCTCTCCTCACCGGGTTTGATGCTTTGCTGTCGGGCAGCAGCGCGCTCCATGCTGTCCTTCACACAGTAGTACAGCTCCCGACACTGCGGCACAGGGGGAGAGTGGTCCCGTCACGGGGGCCGTCCAGGGTTCCCCGCCCACTGCTCTGTAATGGCCACTGAAGGCGTGGGCTGACGCCAGGACCTCAGAGACAGCTTTAGGCACCCCATCCAGCTGGAGACAGACGCGTGGCTCCAGACGGGTTTTGGAATTTTAACTTCCCCAAGAGAAACTATTTGGCCTTCAATGCCTACCATAGCCCCAACCCAAACACAGATCCTGGGTACCTTTTTAGTATAGAACTTGTTGAGCTGCGTCTCAGAGCCATTTCTACGCCACAGGCACAACACCTTGGTCTTGGGACAGTAGGTCATGTTGATGAGCTTCTCGTACCACCAGCGCTCATACACCGTTCCAATGTTACTGCGCAATACCACACAGTCATCGCACACCTGGAGAAGGGCACAAAGCGGCTCAGTGGTTCTTGTCTCTGACAGCCTCTCCTCAGGCTGTCTCCTACAGAGAAATGATGGCACAACTGGCCCTGGAGCATCCCCATGGTCAAGTTTTCTGCCTTACACTTGTGGTCTCCCTAGGTGGAGACACAAAACAGAACTACTGACTCGCTGCCAGCTTTAAGGACTGTTGGAAGAAATGGATCATTAGAAGGAACCTGTGTATAAGGGAGGAGGTTCAAATCAATCAGTTATTTATTATCTCTCTTTATTTATTTATTTATTTTTTTGAGACAGGGTCTCACTTTGTCCCCCAGGTGTGAGTGCAGTGGTGCGATCTCAGCTCACTGCAGCCCCAACCTCCCAGTGAACCTGGGACATCATCTTCCTGCCTCAGCTCCCAAAGTAGCTGGGACTACAGGTGCACACCATCACACTGGCCATTAATTTTTGTTTGAGATTGAGTCACTCTGTTGCCCAGGCTGGAGTGCAGTGGTACAATCTTGACTCACTGCAACCTCTGCCATGTGGGTTCAAATGATTCTCCTGCCTCAGCCTCCTGAATAGCTGAGATTACAGGCACATATCACCATGCTCAGCTAATTTTTGTATTTGTAGTAGACGAGGTTTCACCATGCTGACCAGGCTGGTCTTGAACTCCTGATCTCAAGTGATCCACCTGCCTTGGCCTCCCAAAGTGCTGGGATCATAACCATGAGTCACTGCGCCCGGCCCAGTTATTTATCACCTCTTATGTGCTCTACAGATTTAAAGTATTTGGAGGCGATCTCATGCCTCCATCTTATGACCTCTGGAATCATCTTTGTTGACAAACACAAACGCAGAGGATCATGACAGACTCAACCAAGGAGGAAACTGGAGCTGACACACTTTCTAATCCTGGCTCTACCCTTTCTCTATAAAAATATTTTTTTAATTAATTGTACAAGTGACACATGAACAGGGCTTATTGCATAAAAATGATACAATACAGCACGCCATAAATTAAAAAGCAGTCTCTTTCACGCCTTTTTATTCAACATTCTCCTTCAGGTGAAGTTACCTGTTCTTAGGGCTTCAAATGTTATGGGAGACATTATAGCACAATGGTGAGGGGCACAGGTCTACAGTCAGACAGCTTGAGTTTAGATGCCAGCTCTGCCGTTATTTAGCTGTGCCAGCTTGAGCAAGTTCACCTGCGTCCACATTTCCTCACGGCTAAGATGGGGATAGTAACAGTAATCACTTCCTGCAGTTAAACTATGAAGACTCAACGAGTTAATGTGCATAAAGTACTTAATATGCATACAAAGTCAGGCACACAGAAAGCACCCTACTTAGCTACTAGATATTCGAAATATAAAACTAATGGTTATTACAATGTTGATGGTTCTTACCTCTTTCTCCATCTTAGACCTCTCTTCCTGAGCTCCTAAGCCTCTCAATGTGTGGATGTTTCACATGCAGCCTCTCAAACTCACTGTGTCCAAATCTGAACTCAACATCTCCTCCTGGGTAGATCCTCCTTTAAAGCCTGCTATTTGAGTAAACGGCACCCCCATCCACCCAGCTGCCCCAGCCAGACATGAAGGGATGCCCGACTCTGCTTTTCCCTCTAACTACACTCCATCATTGAGTCCCACTGGTTCTGGCTCAAATATCCCTAGACCGCTCTTCCACTCCCCAACCATTAACTCTTATTCTTTCAAGTCTCAGCTCAAAGGTCAGCTTCTCAAAGGAGGTGTCCACAGCTCCTAGGCCCTCTGCTGTGGATTCCCATAACTCCTGCCCGCTGAGCTTCTTTCAGAATGTGCATCTTATTTTATAATACTCTTTAATTATGTGACTTCCCCAATAGTTTGTCAATGCTAAGGGCAACAGAAACCACATCTGTCTTATTCACTGCTATAATCCTGACACTCAGCAAAGTACCTAGCACACAATATGTGCTCCATAAATACTAGGTGAGTGGGTAAGGAAGACACAAGACCATCAGGCTGAAGCTGCTACATAAGAGTTCACTGGAGTTCTAAAGCCTTTGAAGGATGAGTCAAAGTGGCAGAGTAGGAATTGGAAACTTGAACTCTAGCCCCAGTCTGATTCTGTGGTTTTCTCTAGGGGGAAAATGGACAATACCATTCCACCTTTCACAATCCTTTAAGAACATCATATAAAGGAGAGCGGAACACATTTAGGAGAACACATGATTTCTAAGCTAGAGAATTCTAGGCTAGAAAAATGCTCATAATATATGCTGTTATACTCGTCTAAGCGGTTGTTGGAGGTGTAAACTGGTATAGTCTATGGGATGGCAATTTGGCAGAATCTATCGAAATTTAAAATATATATAAGCTTGACTTGAAAATTTCGCGTCTAGGACTATATCCTATAGAAATTCTCATGTGACAGTACAAAAATGTATGTTCAAGGATAGTCAATGAATAATTTTTTTTTGAGACAGAGTCTTGCTCTTTCACGCGGGCTGAACTGCAGTAGTGCAATCATAGCTCACTAAAGCCTTGACCTCCCAGGCTCAAGGATCCTCCCTACTTAGCCTCTCCAGTAGCTGGCACCATGGCCATGCACTAGTATGCCTAGCTTATTTTAAAATTTTTTGTAGAGACAGGGTTTCCCTATGTTGCCCAGGCTGGTCTTGACCTGCTGGGCTCATGCAATCCTCCCACCTCAGCCTCCCCAGCAGTTGGGACCACAGGCGTAAACCGCCACATGAATGGCTAATTTTAAAATGTTTTGCAGAGACAGGGTCTCCGTATGTTCCCCAGGCTGGTCTTAAACTCGGCTCAAGCAAAGTGCTGGGATTACAGGTGTAAGCCACCATGCTTGGTCTAATGAACAATATTTTTTTTAAAAAATAGTGGGAGGCGGGCCAGGCGCAGTGGCTCATGCCTGTAATCCCAGCACTTTGGGAGGCTGAGGTGGGTGGATCACAAGGTCAAGAGATTGAGATCATTCTGGCTAACATGGTGAATGAAACCCTGTCTCTACTAAAAAATACAAAAAAAATTGGCTGGGGGTGCTGGTGCGCGCCTGCAGTACAAGCTACTTGGGAGGCTGAGGCAGGAGAATTGCTTGAACCCGGGAGGCGGAGGTTGCAGTCAGCCGAGATCGCACCACTGCACACCAGCCTGGCGCCTGGCGACAGAGCAAGATTGTGTCTCAAAAAAAAAAAAAAAAAAAAAAAAATAGTGGAAGGGATTAAACCAATTATGGTACACCATTTGACATCTAATGGCTAAACATCCACTAAGCTAAAAAAAAAAAAAAAGAGACATGGAAAGGTATATCATTAAGTAAAAAAAGCAAATTATTTAACAATATTTGTAATTTGTTTGTTTGTTTTTTTGAGACAGTCTCACTCTGTCTCCCAGGTTGGAGAGCAGCGGGGTATGATCTTGGCTCACTGCAACTTCTGCCTCTGGGTTCAAGTGATTCTCCTGCCTCAGAAGTAGCTGGGATTACAGGCACCTTCCACCATGCCCAGCTAATTTTTGTATTTTTAGTAGAGACGGGGTTTCACCACACTGGGCAGGCTGGTCTGCAACTCCTGACCTCCGGTGATCTACCTGCCTCAGCCTCCCAAAGTGCTGGGATTACAGGCTCATGCAAGCCCCCACACTTGGCCCAATATTTGTAATTTAATACCACTTTCATAAGTGCCAAAGCAAAATTCCATATAAATAAATTATATTTACACAAATATGCATTTTCAATAATCTGAAAGGAGTCACACAAAATTATTTAACAGTGGTTACCTCTGGGACAAAGGATTGAGAGGGAGTGAAACTTTTACTTATTTTTCAACTTTTGCATGGTTTGAAACGTTTATAGCATATGCTGTTTAACTTCTGTAACTTAAAAAAAGGAAAATAAGGCCGGGCGCGGTGGCTCACGCCTGTAATCCCAGCACTTTGGGAGGCCGAGGCAGGTGGATCACGAGGTCAAGAGATCGAGACCATCCTGGTCAACATGGTGAAACCCCGTCTCTGAAAACTACAAAAAATTAGCTGGGCATGGTGGCGCGTGCCTGTAATCCCAGCTACTCAGGAGGCTGAGGCAGGAGAATTGCCTGAACCCAGGAGGCGGAGGTTGCGGTGAGCCGAGATTGCGCCATTGCGCTCCAGCCTGGGTGACAAAGAGCGAAACTCTGTCTCAAAAAAAAAAAAAATTAAAAAATTAAAAAAGGAAAATAAAAACAATTTTAAAAAATATTTGGCCAGGTGCGGTGGCTCACACCTGTAATCCCAGCACTTTGGGAGGCCGAGGCAGACAAATCACTTGAGGCCAGGAGTTCGAGACCAGCCTGGTCAACATGGCAAAACCTCTTTTCTACTAAAAATACAAAAATTTACCTGAGTGTGGTGGCACGTGCCTGTAGTCCCAGCTACTAGGGAAGCTTAGGTAGTATAATCATTGGAACTTGGGTGGGTGGAGGTTGCAGTGAGCCAAGATTGCAGCACTGTACTCTAGCCTGGGCAACAGTGCAAGACTCCATCTCAAAAAAAAAAAAAAAAAATCTTGGCCGGGCGCTGTGGCTCACGCCTGTAATCCCAGCTCTTAGGGAGGCAGAGGCAGGAGGATAGCTTGGGCCCAGGAGTTAGAGATCTGCCTAGGCAATATAGGGAGACCCCGTTCTCAAAAAAAAAAAAAAAAAAAAATCTTCCTTGGCCAGACGTGGTGGCTCACACCTGTAACCCCAGCACTTTGGGATGTTGAGGTGGGCAGATCACTTGAGGTCAGGAGTTCGAGACCACCTTGGCCAAAATGGTCAAACCCCACCTCTACTAAAAATACAAAATTTAGCCGGCCGTGGTGACAGGCACTTGTAATCCCTGCTACTTGGGAGGCTGAGGCAGGAGAACTGCTTGAACCTGGGAGGTGGAGGTTGCAGTGAGCCAAGATCATGCCAATGCACTCTAGCCTGGCTGACAGAGAGAGACTCTGTCTCACATACACACACACAAAATTTATATATATATATATATATATATATATATATATATGTAAAAAATTTCTGTGTGTCAAAAAATACAATAGGCAGAATCAGAAGACAAATGAGAATCTTTCTGGTGGGCAGATCAGGTTGCCCACATCTAAGCCCACTGATCAGTAGGAGAGGGATGATCACATGAGGCAACAGGAAGCATACAGCACCACTCATTAAGTATTCTGGCCAAAAGAGTGAATCTGAAACTGATCAAACCTTGAAACTAAACTATCAGTCTATAAGAAATACAAGTAATAGAGAAACATACTAACACAAAGGAGATGCAATCAGCAAAAAATCTAGAATGTAGGTGACTCCACGGGGCAAACGATCCAACTTGTTCAACAAAATAAATGGCAAAGGGGGTATTACGTGTTTAGAGACACTTAAGAATTATATCAACCAAAATTACAAATGCATTGTCCCTCTGACCTAGCAATCTCATTTCTGGGAATCCTTAGACACAACTGCACATGTATGAAATGAAGCAGGCACCGCATCATTCACAGTATCACTATCAGCAACAGCAAGTTTAGAAGCAACCCAAAGATCCATATGTACTGACTTGTTAAAGAAATTATGGCACAGTCACACAGTAGAATACGTGTAGCCTTAAAGCAAATAGGAAAGCTTTCTTGGTACTGACATAGAAGAGGACCAGGATAATGTTAAATGAAAAAAGCAAAGTATAAAGCAGTGGATAAGATGTGCTATCTTTCTGAAAGGAGAAAAAGAAAATGTGTATTCATATTTTATTGTTTGCATAAAAATCTACTGGAAGGCCACCCCAGTGGCTCACACCTGTAATCCCTGCACTTTGGGAGGCTGAGGTGGGTGGATCACCAGAGGTCAGGAGTTTGAGACCAACCTGACCAACATGGTTAAACCCATCTCTACTAAAAATACAAAAAATTAGCCACGTGTGGTGGTGGGCGCCTGTAAACCCAGCGACTTGGGAGCCTGAGGCAGGAGAATTGCTTGAATCCAGAGGCAAAGGTTGCAGTGAGCCAAGATCATACCACTGCACTTCAGCCTGGGCGACAGGGCAAGACTCTGTCTCAAAAAAAAAAAAAAAAAAAGAAAAAAAAAAAAAA